CCGTTTAAGGCGGAAACTCAGAGTTACCATAAGGACGTCACCTTTGCCAAGCAAAACTTTTCCTTTGCAAAACTACCCAATGCCTGTACTATTATAGGAGAGTGAATTACCATAGAGTAAGGGTTGATTTTCCTAAATATTTGAACGAAAGAGTAATTACTGTCTATGATGGATAAAAAATATTTTAATAAAATCTTAAAAGGTGACATCTAGAAAGTTCTTCTTGGAATGCATTAGGTGGGAGTTTTATTTCTGCAATTCCTGCAATCGATCTCGCACACAAAAGCGGCGATTCGTAGTTGAGGAGGGTTGCCGGGATTGTAGGGGTTGAAGGGGCGCCGATGTGGGGGTGAAGTCGTCGACATAGTTTCTTTCTTCGCGTGTGCGGCCGTGCGCTAAGCGATGCAGAGGTCGGCGGGCCTCATTATAGGTGAAGCGAAGTCAAAGTTGGAACCAATTACACCCCATTGTTGCCAACGGCAGGGTCTCCGCCCCCGGAAAAACGTCCCCGCGCCCCCGTCTTAACTAGACATCCGGCGTAGAGATTTCAATTTAGCGATACGGCGGCCGAGTACGAGTCGGGGATACGCGGCCCCGTTCCAGCGTTTCCCAGTTTCTCATTTTAAATTTAATATTTCGCCGTCGGCGAACCACCCCTTACCACCCCCTTTACCAACCCCCTTCTATGTACCCGTAAACATTTTGATTTTGTTTGCGTTTACCGCTCGCTACGTTCGCTTCTCCGGGCTCTACTTCGATTTTGTTACATTCCTTCGGGAGGTTTTCGTTGCTCTTCTTTTTTACTCTTCTTTTTCTACTCTTCTTTTCTCTACTTTTTTTTTCTACTCTTCTCCGTTTCTTTTTGACGTCCTAATATAATTTTTCCCCAACCCCAAACTAAACCACAGATAAAATTATAACGATAAATTTTACATTTTGTATTTAGAGATTTTTTTGACGAAAAACTAAAAAAAGGTGAGAAGAAAAAGTGGTTGGAAGTAAAGAAAATGAGTGGAAAGCTATTCGCTTAAAACGTAAAGCTGCTTCAGAGTGAAGTGCAAAAGCAAATTTCTCCCCTGCGAATGCGAAGCAGCTTATACTAAACAAGGGTGGGCATCTTTTGAAACTGATAATGCACGACCGAGTCCGTGCAGATGTGTCCGACGCTGGTCTTCGAAACCTCTCGCAAACGAGATGGGAGTTTGGACGAACGACGACGACTTACGTATTCAGAACGCGAAGGGCGAAGTCCCCCGAAAAACGAATAAGAGGGTACGTCAGTACGCCCCCGCAAAATTTATTTATGTATATTTACCCTAAAAGCGTACATGTCACGCGATAATTCGTTCGAATGTGCTAATCGCTTGTGAAAATGAAAATTTTATTTTTAATCAAAGACATCGTTTTATAACTTTATCACAGACAACGTTGAGAAATGATATTTATACTTACTTATGATTCATAAAATAGTGGTGTATGAATATTTAAATGGAGTGGACTGGTAAATAACGTAGTCGCCAACTGGAACAATTACTGGGATATTGCACTTGATTTATAAGTTAATTAAGCATGTTTTCTAGTGAAGATACTCGTATTTAATAATCACTGACCATAGGACAGCTCGTAGAGAAGTTACTATATACATAATGGAATTATGAATATTTATAACACTTTTCTTTGTTATTCACATTCCTTTTTATTAGAATAAATAAAAATTAATAATCAAAATTCTTACTTATTAATTAATTCTTCATTAATTCTTTATCATTGAGTATTGTTAACACAGATTTAGGGTCTAAACACAGATATCCCTTTAATATTTTCCAATTTAGTACAATTTGGTACTCTAGATTTTGACCTAGATCAAATGCCGATGGTCAAGACATTTGATCCTATTGAGCCTTGGCTTGGGGAGAATGATGTATTAAGTCTTCTTATTCACACCAAACATTCCAGCTAACACGACATTGAAAATGCCTGATTTGTCAGACTGTAAGCGATGCTGCTTAACAATTAACTGAGATTTCAATACATACAGTGAATTTAAGATGAAATATACAAAAATATATTTCCATAGAAACCAGCGCATACCTACTTACTCTATCCCATAAAAATGCAACTTGTCAATATAATTTGACAATAAAAATGTATTACAATCTAGCGCTGAATAACAAATGAAACTAGACTAATATTAGCACTAGAACTAACACTATACCTAGAACTAGAATCATTCGGGTTTAGCCGTCTTTAGAGACGTGCGGCTAAACCCAAATGATTCTAGTTCTAGGTTTAGTGTTAGTTCTAGTTTTACACTAGCACTGTTACTATGTTAGTTTTAATTGTTCTTCAGCGTTGTTCTAAAGGCGGAAACTCAGAGTTGTCATAAGGATGTCACCTTCTCCAAGGAAAACTTTTCCTTTCCAAAACTACCCAATACCTGCATTAAGCTATGTTGCATTTTATTTGGGACAGTGCAAGTACATAGTAGTTTCATACCTATGGTTACAGCATTCGTATATTGGGAGTTATATGAAATTCCCCGTATATAATAATACTATGGAAGGTAAAAACCAAATCGTAATAGGAAAATTCGTTACTGAAATACTTTAATATGGTAACCAGGCATAAAAACAGGCAACAGAAAGGACGAAGGAAAAGAATTATTCGAAAAAGAATTGGAAAATATATAATGTAGCATGATTTGCTAAAGTTTTACTATCTAGTAAAGCTTTTTATTAAGCATCCCGGCGAATTATCTGACCAGTCCCAACCTTCTTAAGAGATAAAGTTTTTAAATCCGCTTGTCTAACTGTGTGAAGCATATTTTCCACAAGAAGCACTCTAATAAACCTATCTCAGAAATTTCAAAGAAACATCAAAATCATCTTTTTCAATCCTTTCACCTTAGTTAAGTATCCCATCTATGGGACTTTTTTTAGTCTATTAGAACCATTTTGAATGACTAATAAATATATCCCATATTCCAAAACTTTGCATTTTCTGCAAAACATCCCCTTTAGTGATTTTCAATTATTTCACCTTGCTTAACTAACCTGAAAATCTATCCAACCGAATAGTATTATTTTGATACACTCTATAATCCTCTATAATACTCTAATTGTATGTTTTTAGTAGACTGGTACGATTTTGATACACACCAAGCAGTTACCACATATTAAAAAATATTTGAATTTTCTGCAAAACATCTCCTTTTGTGTTGTTTAGTTGTTTCGTCATGATCAAATAACCTGGAGATGTATCCAACTCAATGGTACCATTTTGACACAGTCCAATAAACTGAGTTAATCTGAGCGTAACGTGTAGCAGACATGGCACAGATATCTATTGGGTGCCTTTTTAATTCCATAATAATTTCTGAGTCCTTCTTTATCATGATTTAACATTTCACGATCCAAATCGTATAAGGTTCTTATTCTAGTATCTCTTTTCTAATCGTGTCACCACTTTTTACCGTTAGCAGGTTATTAGCTTAGTCAGTGATCCCTCCTCCTTTTGCTGAGCCTGGGATCAACATGGCTCTATACAGGCAGAATTGAATTTGTACTTCATTAAAATTTTTCCCAAAGATATTCTTTCATATTGATATTGTCTCTGGTTTGGAGTATCACAATTTCCTCGAAATTATGAAATTGATGTTTAACTTTGTAGATATATTGCTACATTTTGGAGAATAAATTCAGTTCAGTATATTTTTCCCTATGATGAGTTTTCCAAAATATCCCCTTTAATTAAAGCCTTCGTACTTATATCCCCTTTAGTGTTTTTCAATTATTTCGCCTTGGTTAAATAACCTGAAAATCTATCCAACTGAATGGTATAATCCTTAATAATCCTTTTTAATGTTTTAGTAACTTAGAAACACTTTCAAAAAACATCAAAATCTTTTTTTTTTTCAATTTTCCATCTTAGTTAAGTATCCTACAGATGTTTTTAGTAGACTAGAACGATTTTGATAGACACCAAGCAGTTATCGCATATTCAAAAATCTTTGAATTTTCTGCAAAACATCTCCTTTAGTATTGTTTGATTATTTCGCCATGGTCAACCTGGAGATTTATCCAACCCAATAGTACCATTTAACACAGTAATGTGAGTTAATCTAAGAATAACGTGTAGCAGTCTTTAAGTTAGAAATTTATTTAATTCTTTCAAGTATATAATTCTAAAATATTTTGCATCATAATTAATATAAATAAAAAGAAAATGTTTAAATTAGTATACTGTATAAACACAGTCAATAAAAGTCACTTACATTTTTTATAATCTACTCAGTGAACACTAAAGAATTTTAAAGTTGCACATAATGAAATAAAATGTAAAAATTTACAATCGTGTACGGTACCATATCTTTACACTTCTTAAGTTTTTGATGTACATTATTTTATAGTAAAGCACGCATATTTTTTCGCTGTCACTTTTGGACATTATCTCCATCGAAATGATTTATAAGACCCGCAACGATGCTAATTAAAATGCGTAATTACAATTGAATCCCTCGCTATTTCATTGTTTCGCATACAAATTATACATGGATTCTATTATAAAATAGAAACGGGAGCGTGGCAATGCTGAGTTATAATTTTTGTTGGATTGAAAACGTCGCTGTTGGAAATTGGATTTTAAAGCGGTTTTATTTTTTAAGGATTGTAATATTTATTCAACATGCGCCAAGAGGGAAATGATTATTCATAGATCGTGCTCACTTACAATTAGCGCGTACACAGCATTGCGTGCGGCGAATCTTTGTTTAGAGACGAACTCATCTTACCGCCTAATTAACCCAAATACATGGAAGTTACGAAACATTACGTTGTGCGATTAGTTTTACTGGATGCTCCCGTGAAATATTACTCTATGTTATACTCAAGGATGCAACGCGAAACTACAACTTAACAATATTAGTACTACATTTTAACTGTTACTTAATAATTACTACCAGAGAACAACCAAATCAATATCTTTTTTTTCTATTTTTACAGGAAAAAAGATCTGTCAGAAAATACATGATGCAACAAAGATACCAGAGGGACATTCACTGGGCATTCAAATCCCAGTCAGGAGACTTTCGTTTTGCCTTGCCCTCAACTTCGGATTCCCTAAGGTACGATCACATGGCAATCATAAGCATCTGAAAGTCGGAAGGAAAAAAACGTATTACTTCAGCTTCGGTTATAGGTTTTTTTCTTCCTTCCTACCGACCCAGGGAATAGTTCAATATAATCTATGGGAAAACTTGGAACGATAAATATTGTTTCCCTATTTTATAAAAAGAAAATAAATTACTTCACGTTATTATTATTTTGTTTTGCCAAGGTTTAGCGTAAACAAAACCGAGTATCACACGTATTTCTGCATGCGCTATTAAATATGCATTACACGAATATCATTTGCGTCGGTCGTAACACGTAATTGAGCCGTGGCAATAATTAAGCGTAATAAAACTAAATTAAAATAGTACATTGTTCCGTTTTTTGTACTAACGAAGTGTAAATAGGAATGGGGGAATGTTACATAAACATAAACATAAGGGGTTATTATAAAAATTATAATTAACGTATGAATTAGTAAAATTTAAACATCTTAAAAAACTGATTATTGTACGTTACTTTTTGTGTTTTCTTGTATTCTCATGTTATTACAATAAACATTATTTTTTTTTACATCTATACATAAATTAACAATTTCATTACTTATTATGTGAGATACAACTAAGTTTACAATACAATATCATTTCACCACTTCTTGATTCTAGATTATGAATCTCATAATACATCATTTTTGAGAGAATCTGAGAAAACATAAGAAAACCTTAGTTAAATCCATGACTTTGTTAAATAATGCTAGATAAGGTTATAAATGCTAATACAAATTAATTTTGAGAAATAAAATCATATTTTTTCAGATTACCCAGAAGATTTCTACGCCATAAATAAAGCCTCTTCTGCAAAGTCTGTAGAACATAGTCATTTTTGACGCAATTTATGAAAGACTTCTTTGGACAAGTTGTGCCTTAGATAGCAGATCTCCAATGGCAATGAAAAATAAAAGGAAAAGCCCAAATTAACTAAACACACTTGGTTCTTAATTCCGTTCCATCTGATCTTTCCTGAGATTACATTTACTCATTTTATGACAAAGATTATACAGCTTATGGATAATCGGATAACCTTTGCTTCAATTTTTGGTTTTTTATTCTCCGGAGTAACAGGAATCATGACCGGAGCAAATATGAGTAGAGAATTGAAAAAGTCCTTTGCGTATTTCAATGTCGAAAGTCATTGCTAGGCAGATGTAGACTTTGTGTCACTTTACTATCACTACCTATGCATGAATTTATTCGACCAAACCCAGGTTTTTAAGTCTAAAGGTTGAGATGTGCACATCCAAATAAGAAAAGATTACAACTTTGATTACAGCTCTTATGCTATCATCATACATTTAGTTTTTGAAGTAGAGACAGCATGCAGAAAACAATTTTGTGATATTTAGCTGTGATACTTTCAATATAGGTATGATGAGATGAGATTAAACATGGTGTTTCATTGTGGCTGTCCGTTTTCAGGCTTATTAAATCCTGTTCAATACGTCTTTGAGTAAATGCAAATTGCTTCAACTTCTCTGGACAAGTTGTGCCATAGATGGTAGATCTCCAATGGCAATGAAAATTAAAAGGAAAAGCCCAAATTAACTAAACGCACTTGGGTTCTTCTCTAGAAAGTTAAGTACCAAATGAGCCTACGATAAAGTTTGATTGAGTGGAAGTTCCTAATTCCGTCCCATATGATTTTTCCTGAGATTACACTAAATGAAAACGTTTACTCATTTTATGGCAAAGATTACACAACTCATAGGTAATTGGTTACCTTTGCTTCAGTTTTTGGCGTTTTATTCTCGGAAGTAACAGGAATCATGGCTAGAGCAAATATGAGTGGAGAATTGAAAAATCCATGAAAATCAATACCAAAACGAACTTTATCCGCTATTGCATTCACATTTGTCATTTATTTAACACTTTCATTATTAACTGCTTTTACTAGCAGTCGATTTTTATTACAAAATAATTATTTATTTATAACTGGTGTTAATGTGGTACCAGCAATAGTTGCTTTAGGATTATTTACTGCTACTTGGGCTGCTTGTTTAAGGCCCACTTTTACCACCTCTTGATAAATTTATCCTATAGATAAATCCAGCTCTTAGCCAATGACAGTGCTTAAAACCGCCGTAACCATGGCAACCATCCTCTAGATAGTTTATCAGGAGGATGGTAAAAGTGGACCTAAGTAATGTTATCGGAGGATCTAGAGTTATTGAAGCATTAGCTAAAGATAAAGTTTTTGCTAAATACTTTTTATAAAAAATAATTTTCATGAATTCAATTTTTTCTCTTTTAGAACCATTTCTATCATTTATTCCAAAAGGTACTTGGCGCAACAATCCAATTTTAGCGATTTCCTTCTGGCTTATAGTACAATTGGTTCTTTTAATAGGTTCCTTAAACATAATCGCTCAATTAAATTCGGTTCTATTCTTATTGAGTTATTTAGCAACAAATATGGCTTGTTTAGGTTTAGAAATCATCTTGTATCACTTTATTATCACTACTTACGCATGAATTTGTTCGACCAAACCTAGGTTTTCAAGTGCAATGCTTGAGATGTGCACACCCAAATAAGAAAAGATTACATCTTAATGGCTCTTTCGCTATCATCGTACATTTAGTTTTTGAAGTAGAAACAGCATGCAGAAAACAATTTAGCTGTGATACTTTCAATGCAGGTGTTCTTTTAAATACGTCTTTGAGTAAAGACAGCAGAACTCCAAACTCCACAAACGAAATTAGCAACTACTTGGGTTCTTCTATATAAAGTTAAGCTCCAAAAAGAAATAAAGAGGCTACGATAGAGAATTGTTTTATTGAGTGGAAGTTCATAATTCTGCCCAATCTGATCTTTCCTGTGGTTGCTCATCATTTCTGTCACTCTTAATATGTTCTTAGTTTTGTTTATCTTAGCGTATTTCAATGTCGAAAGTCATTCCAGGGCGGATGCAGATCTTGTGTCACTATTCGATCAAACCTAGGTCCAAGACTAGAGAGGTAAATATCGAAGTTGGAAAAGCTTACATCTTATTGGCTTCTTTTGGTCCAATTAAATATGATTAATAATAATGATTTGATTTTGATTAAAATCACTTTTTTTTGCTGTATTTTTATTTTATAAAATTTTTTCTTGTTGCTTTTCTAAACTTTTTCTCTCTACTTTGCAATTTCAACGTTGGCGTGGCAGAATAATGTTCTGTGGACGTTAAAGCTTCGTATTGACTTCGAAAGAGGGAGGACGCTGAGCTTAAGCTCTCGTTCCGAGCTGTCTCGGACGCTTTTCCCTAATATTCCGAGATTCTGGAAAGTGGACATCTAGCGTGGATTCTCTCGACCATGAATTTCTGGAATAAAACTGAATAATGTAAGCGACAGGGATTACATTATACCTTCTCTCTTTGTTTTTGATGTCCCTTTACGAGGATATTATGGGCTGGGTTGATTCGAAAACTATTCGAGAAGTGTATAATAAAGTTTTTTCGCTGCGATTAATCAATGTTTTTGTTGCTATAAAAGGCGCCGGATGACCAAATATAGTTTGACTTCCTCTGCAAGTAAAAGTAGCGAAAAGAACAACCTTGAATCTCCATATTTCGAATAGTGTAATCGATAATTAAAGATCCAGGCCGAAGTTTTGAATAATCAAGTCTCCTTTTATGGTCGAAACGTGTGTCTGAATTAAAATGAAAAAATAAGGTTCGAATCCGATATGAATGCGTTTCGAATGTTTCCCGCCTGGTTAAAGGAATTTCGCGTACCGAAAAGGAGATCTCTTAATTGCAAATAAAAACTATTACCAAGTATAAATGGGTATCCGGCTAATGTCCGGCCCGATTAATAAACATTCGCCCGGACTCCGGGTATTATTAAAATATCGCGTATCGGCGGCAAAAAGCGGCGATCGGCGGTGCAGAGAAGACGGAAAGAGCGCCGACATTTGTAATTGTAATATGTCTTCGGGTCCGTTCGCGGCCGTACATCATCTCGTAATGCTCGGGGTCCTGGACCTAATTATTAACCGCATGTTGCATTCGCGATTCTTCTCTCCAACAGCAACAACAACGGGCACAACCAATAATATTATCGTTTCGTTTCGAAATCGTTCCGTTTCGACCCAGCAGGCGAAAAAACCTCGATTTCATCGTACTCCTAAATCATTTTTTTCAATCAGATAATTACAAAAAAAAATCTTGTACACGACCCCCTTTTAATTTTTTTCTTTTTCTTATTATAATAAACAAAGAAAGAAATAACACAACATCCAACCATCTACTGTAATAACTAATAATCCTTTATTAATATTTATTTATTATTTTCCATTTTAGGTAAAAAGAAAAATTGTCACACCTATTTCCCGATGTACTATTCAGAATTCCGTCTGAAGGGATGGCGCCCTTTGGCTTGCGAAGTAAAGACGAAGGAGGTGGTGGTGAGACGGCGAGGAAGTCCTTCGGAATAAAGTGGTCGTGCATTATTCAAGTGTCCGCCGAGGGGAGGCGGTGAGTAAACATGAGCGCATCGCGAAATGGAGAAATTGGAAACGGCTCCTGGAGCGGAGGAGCGAAACTTATCCATTTATAATGGACGGCGGGAGGCGCGGAGCTTGGAGATGTTGCGGGGGCGGAACAACCCGGAATACAATTTCAGCCCTTTGTTCCCGAAGGCGCGCGGTGCGAATGCCTGAAAGCACTCGCTTCTGTAATAACGTTACCTGGATACCAAGAAGTACTTCTAATAATTTTCAGGTACAAAAAAGTTAATTAAGCTTTGAAAGGTTATTTAAGGTTATTTATTTTTTAGGGATCAAAAACATGCTTGAAATACATCAATTAATAGGAATGAGTTGTTTTGGAAGTTTATAATGGAAATGAAGAAAAAAATAAGAAAGATGTATTGTGAAGTAAGAACGAAAGGAGGAAAAATTTTTGAAATTTTTAGGTAACTTCAATTAAATTTTTCTTAATTCTTATATCCTTTCTGGCATAAGAAACAATCTGGGATATATTTAGATCAGCCAATAATACTGTGAACCAATTTGTTTGCAAATCTTTAAAATTGAATAACTCATCAGTTACAGCTACTATTGATTTCTCGTAGGTTTTTTAAGACCTGGTGGAATCTCTGGAGATCGTTTTCATTTCTTCGATTCATTCCTTATTAAGATGATATCTCATGTTTCGATGTAGATGATAGCAACACACAAAGATTTTAATGGTATATGTATTCATACCATAATGGTGTTATGATAGATATAAAGCATTGTAAAGTTGTTTCCAAATTGAATGCTGAAGGTTGTTTCTATGGGCTATCAAATTGTACAGGCTTCCTAGGAATTAATTGATGATGTTAGCTATTATTTTGTGTAAAATAATCCCATTCCAAAGCAAACCAACCCATCTCAAAGCAACGAATCTAACTTGAACGCAACCCAACACATCTCAAAGCAACAAATCCAACCTAAAAGCAACTTAATTCCACTTTAAGACAACTCAACCTATCTCAAAGCAACGAATCTAACACCAAAAACAATCCAATCCAACTCCAAAGCACGCTAATTCAGCACCAAAAGGAATTAACTTAAAATAATCCCATTCCAAAGCAACCCAATCCATCTCAAGCAACGAATCCAACCCAATCCCACTTTAAAGCAACCCAACCCATCTCAAAGCAACGAATCTAACCGAAAGTCAACCCAATCCCACTTTAAAGTAACTCAACCCATCTTCTAGTAACGAATCCAATCCCAAAAACGATCCAGTCCAACTCCATAGCGAGCTAATTCAGTACCAAAAGAAATCGACTTAAAATAATCCCATACCGAAGCAAACCAACCCATCTCAAAGCAACGAATTTAACCTGAACGCAACCCAACACATCTCAAAGCAACAAATCCAACCCACTTTAACCCTAAAAACAACTTAATTCCACTTTAAAGCAACTCAACCTATCTCAAAGCAACGAATCCAACCCCAAAAACAATCCAGTCCAACTCCAAAGCACGCTAATTCAGCACCAA